TGCTTGGATCTAGGCTTTCTAATAAACATGCTTTTGAATCCAAGACTTCTAATGGCTAATTAGGTTAAACAACAATATTAAAACAGATCTAGAATCATACCTTTGAATCCCTTGTTGATCTTGTTTGTCTTGGAGCTTCTAGAGTCACAATTGTCACTCCTCTAATGGCTTACAAACACCAATAGCAAGCAAGATGATTTAGGAGAGAGGAGAGGGGATAATTCGGCCAGAGTATCCTTGATTAAGGTTGTGTGTCAGGTTGTACTCGAATTCCCCATCCCAAGGGCCTATTTATACCTTTAGACTCCTTAAGGGTTTCACCCTAAACCCTAATTGGATAATCTTCTCTTAAGGCTATCCAAATCCATTCCATAGATAACCATATGGACGATTTGAGCTATCCCAAAACTCTTAGAATCTGTCCATGGTCCATCCTAATGGATTTACAGTCTAAAGTCTAACTATCAAACAATTGACAGTTTATACCCTCTTATTTAATTAATCTCTTTAAGTCACCAATTAATACCAATTAATTTATGACTTATATTAATCAAATAGTCAAATATTATTCCTTATAATATTTACTCTCTCTTAACAAATCATCCTTCAAGTTGCTATGGTGAAGGCAACCCAAAAGGACCATGCACCACCGAATATAGTTATAGCCTTAGACACTATTCCAACAAAAGGATGGTTCACACTGGATGTGTATCGATTACCGGGAGTTGAACAAGTTGACGGTTAAAAACCAGTATCCATTACCCAGGATCGATGATCTGTTCGATCAGTTGCAGGGGGCATCTTGGTTCTCTAAGATAGACTTGAGGTCGGGTTATCATCATATGAGGGTTCGGGATGAAGATATCTAGAAGACTGCATTCAGAACTCGTTATGGGCATTACGAGTTTGTGGTGATGCCTTTTGGGCTCACCAATGCCCCGGCTGCGTTCATGGATCTTATGAACAAGGTGTGCAGGCCGATGCTGGATCGGTCGGTGATCGTATTCATTGATGATATTTTGGTATATTCGAGGTCTAGGGAGCAGCATGAGGAACATTTGAGGGGGATTCTTGGAGTATTGAGATCGGAGAGGCTGTATGCCAAATTCTCCAAGTGTGATTTCTGGTTACGAGAGGTCCAGTTCCTAGGACACCTTGTTAACCAAAAGGGGATATTGGTCGATCCGGCCAAGATCGAGGCGGTGATGAGATGGGAAGTGCCAAGATCGCCCACTGAGATCAGGAGCTTTCTGGGATTGGCCGGCTATTATCGAAGGTTTATCAGGGATTTCTCCAAGATCGCCGTGCCACTTACCAAGATGACCCGGAAGGGTGTTGCATTTTCATGGGGTCCGGAGCAGCAGTCCTCATTTGAGACTCTTCGTCAGAAATTGTGCGAGGCCCCGGTGCTCACACTTCCGGAAGGGATGGAGGATTTTGTGGTATATTGTGATGCATCTATATCTGTATTAGGAGCAGTGCTTATGCATAGGGGACACGTTATAGCATATGCATCGAGGCAGCTGAAGCCTCATGAGTCGAGATATCCCACCCACGACCTGGAACTGGGGGCTGTGGTGTTTGCCCTCAAGATCTGGCGACACTATCTTTATGGAGTTCGGTGTACCATATACACGGACCACAAGAGTCTGAAGTACTTGATGGATCAGCCAAATCTGAATATGCGCCAGAGGAGATGGTTGGATGTGGTGAAGGATTATGATTGTGAGATCCTGTACCACTCGGGGAAGGCTAATGTTGTAGCCGATGCATTAAGCCGTAGGGCGGAGAGCGCCCCGATCCGAGACGTCTGTATGAGGTTGACGGTGATGAATCCGATTTTGGACACCATCCGAGGGGCCCAGGCTAAGGCTGCAAGACCAGAAAACCCAAAGAGGGAGCAGGTTGTCGGGCAGGTATCGAAATTCGTTACTGATGGTCGGGGACTTATGACATTTCAGGTTCGGATTTGGGTACCGTTTGTGGGTGGGACGCGTACTATTTTGATGGAAGAAGCACATCTATCGAAGTTCTCGATCCATCCCGGGGCTACTAAGATATATTTGGACCTAAAGAAGGAGTATTGGTGGCCCTGTATGAAGAGGGATGTTGCATGGTTCGTCAAGGGGTGCATGACTTGTCGTCAGGTTAAGGCCAAGCACCAGCGTCCGCATGGTAAGTTGCAGCCGCTGGAGATTCCCGAGTGGAAGTGGGAACAAATTACCATGGATTTTATCACCAAATTGCCAAGGACTTCGAGAGGGGTCGATGCAATTTGGGTGATTGTGGATAGATTGACGAAGAGCTCTCATTTTCTAGCTATCAGTGAGAGCTCTTCTGCGAAGAAGTTGGCAGAATTATATGTGAGGGAGGTGGTATCGCGGCACGGGGTTCCGATGTCGATCGTTTCAGATCAGGATGTACGAGTTACTTCTAGGTTTTGGAAGAAGTTTCACGAGGAGTTGGGTACGAGGCTGCATTTCAGTACCGCATACCACCCGCAGACGGATGGACAGAGCGAGCGGATGATTCAGACGCTCAAGGATATGCTCCGAGCGTGTGTTTTGGATTTTAGAGGGAGTTGGGACACCTATTTACCCTTAGCAGAGTTTTCGTACAACAACAGCCATCATTCGAGCATTGGTATGCCACCCTTTGAGCTGTTGTATGGGAGGAGGTGTCGAACCCCCATCTGCTGGTGAGAGGTGGGGAAGCGGGTAATGGGTAGTACGGAGATTGTGCTTCAGACGACCGAGCAGATACAACAGGTCAGGCAGAGATTGTTGACCGCTCAGAGTCGCCAGAAGAGTTATGCGGACAGGCGTCGGTCCAAGCTCGAGTTTCAGGTTGGTGACCTGGTGCTCTTAAAGGTCTCTCCTTGGAAAGGAGTGATACGATTCAGGAAGAGGGGCAAGTTGGGACCTCGATATATTATACCTTTCAGGGTAATCGCTAGGGTAGGCAGGGTAGCCTACCGGTTGGATCTACCTGCTGAGTTGGGTCAGATCCACGACACCTTTCATGAGTCGCAGTTGAGGAAATGTATTGCCAATGAGTCGGAAGTGGTACCATTAGAGGATATTCAGGTGGATGCAGGCCTGAACTATGTTGAGAGACCAATAGCAATTAGGTATCGAAAGGTTAAGGTTCTGAGGAACAAGGAAGTACCCTTGGTGCAAGTGCAATGGCAACATTAGAAGGGGTCCGAGCCGACATGGGAGTCCGAGTCTGAGATGCGGGAGCAGTATCCGGAATTGTTTTCGGTATAAGACTTCGGGGGTGAAGTCTGGTTCCAGTGGGGGAGAATTGTAACAACCCGAAATTCAGGTATCTCTAATTATCCCTTCATCTTTTGCTATGTTTTCATTTTTGGGCTTTTGTGTTGGGCGAGTATGCTGGGCGTACAAGGAATACGCTGTGCGTACTCGCGCACTTCATGTAAATGCATCATCCCCTGGGTACGATGGGAGTACCCAAGGTTACGCTGGGCGTAATTGGTCCAGACCCAAAAACCCTAATTTTGTGGATTGGCTATAAAAGAAATGAGATGGCTTGGTTTCTCAGCCACCATCTTTCAGAAAGAGACACTAAGAGAGTTGTTCCTTCGTTCATAGCTTGTTTGTGAGTGTTCTAAGCTTGGTGGTGTCATTTCAAGGTAGCAAAAGAGAAGAGGAGTCCATTGTGGAGGCTAGAAGTTGGTGTTCAAGTGTAGATCCGTGAATAGCAAAGGTTGGAGCTTCTTTCTAAGGTAAAAAGTTTGGATCTTGACTTGTAGTTCTTGTGGTATGCTTTATGGACCATTTCCTAGGGTTTTGGTCCCAAATATGGAGACTTTATGAGAAAATAGTCTCCATTAGCTTAGATCCATCATATTTCTGGACCATTTGAGTTGTAGATTCATAAAAATGTAATCTTGGATGTGAATGATTAGCCATGCATGAGATCTAGATCTTTTGAGTTGAAATGGAAAGGTATTAAGGAGTGTAGGAGCCTTTACAGCCATGCCAAGGCTTAAAGGTTTCGACTTTATGGGTAAGGAGGCTTAAAGAGAGCCGGATCTAGAAGTTGAAGAAGTGTCTTAACCATTTAAGACCAAAAATAAAGAATGGCTGAATCTGAGTGTTACGCCGAGCGTAACTCCAAGTACGCGCAACGTACTGGGTGGAGACCCCGATTGTGGGTTGGCGATGTACGCCCCACGTATATAAGTCTGTATGCCCCGCGTACTGTAAGATGTTGACTTTTGTTGACTTTTAGGGTTTTGGTCAACATGAAGACTTTGAGTCAAGGAAGGGTAAAATGGTCTTTTACCCCTCTGAGGAATATTAATAAGAGTAAAGTCTAGTTGTGGAAGTCTATATTAATTAAAATGATATTTCGTTATGATTAGGTGGGGTTGGGATTCGGAGATAGCGAGTACGCGAGATTCTAGACTTTCCACGAGGTGAGTTTTCTCACTATACTGTACCCGGAAGGGTTTTATTGTGTGACCGGAAGGTCGGATATGTTATGAGTTGTATGCATTGTATGTGATAAGTTAACCATTATATGTGCTATGTATGCTATGCTTGATATGGGCCGGAAGACATCTATGTTATGGGCCGGAAGGCGTTGTGATGTGGACCGTAAGGTTAACGCAGGTAGGACCGGAAGGTTTACCGATTCGGGACGGAAGTCCCCTGAGACACATGGACCGAAAGGTCAGGGCCTGGAAAGGCGTATGTGCGTAAGTAGTATTTTGGGGAACTCACTAAGCATTTATGCTTACAATTGTTGTGTTATGTGTTTCAGGTACTAGCGAGGACCGTGGGAAGGTGCCGACGTGATCTGTACACACTGACGGGAGAATTGTTTTATGATCTGGGGGTGTATTTTGTTACGATGACATTTGTTATACATGTGATTTTCGAATATTAAATGATGGTTTATGTTGTTTGAAAAATGAAAAATTGTTTTGAAAATTTTCGTTGTTACACATTTTGTCAAAGCTTCAAAATACTTTAAATATGCCTATGCCTTTCCATCTCAGCCTCAACCTTTGCCTTTCTTTCTTTTTTTGATTTTTCCACCACAACCTTTTTCCCTCTATCTTGTATTGTTGGGATTTCTTTGGGTTTCGAAGCACTCCCTTCTCCAACTGACTCAATCACCATGACTTTTAACACTTGCCTTGTATTTATAACAGTCGAAATCATAGGGTCAGCTTTTGATATGATTGGATTTGTTGTGGGAATGTTTGTTGTAAAGACTTTACCAACTACTTTAGCTTTTTCACTAGTTTTTCGCGAATCTCCTTCACCAACATACTTCCTTTCTCTCCATTGCACCCCTGTGACAATAGGCGGGCTTTTGTTGGTAAAATATTGGCAAGTTGAGATAATGGGGTTAATTGTTTGTGAAGAACAGATTCGAAGAGAATGAACTTTTGAGACACAAATTCTGGAGTGATTAAAGGAGAGGAATATGGCTTCGAAATGAAGTCTTTTAATTCAGTCAACAGTTTGTTGATTTCTAAAAAGCTTTGAACTTCATCTTTTGACATTTGGTCAACCTTATGGCCAAGTATTTCATACAGTTTGACAAATTTTGTCACAGCATCTGCAATGATGTCCATCTTTTGATTAAGAGAAGCATAATCTTGTTGCACAACTGCTATCTCTTTGCTCATATCCTTCCGAAGTTCCTGAATCTTGAAATTCACATCCTCCCTACCTTCTCAACATCTTGAACAAATAAAATGTGACGTTCTTTTGCAATAGCTTTCAAGTCTTCAAGATCAGAAGAAAAAGTAGACAATTGATTCTTCACACGGTTCTAATTATTTTGATCTACTTCAGAAATGGCCTCGTGGAGACGGTCTGCTTGCTTTTCGAGCAAAAGTTCAACTTCTAGACTAGATACTGAATGTTTCCCTCCTCCATCAGCTTGAATTTGCAATAATGAATTAAGCTTCTGATTTAGGATTTTGAATTGTTTTCCAGTGAGTATCATATTGTCAGGAATCTCCTCCTATTCAGGATCAAATTGAATATCTACAAAGGATCCACCAAAAACATTTTCATCATCATCAGATGAATGATGAGCTTCCTCATGAGTAACCGGTGGTTCGGTAGATTAGGAAGAAAATAAGGAAGTAATTGGTTGGTTGAGAATATTATTGAAAGTTGGTGAATGTGTGTCAAGAGTAGTGGTTTCAAATGGAGGTAAAGTAGTTGTAGTATCTATGGTGGAAGTTTTAAAAGTACAGGAAACAATGATAGGAGTACCTTGAGACTGGGTAGTTTCAAAATTTGTTTCCAATGGAAGAGAAACAGTAATCAGTTCTGGTTGAGAAACTGAGGAAGATACAACAATCATTTCGACATTTGAAGTTTTGACTTGAGATGTTGTCATTGGTGGATCCTAAAGAACTCTGTCTTCGGTAGATTGATCATTTATCACCAATTTTTGAAGCTTCTTCTTCTACTTCATTGAAATCTGTTTAGCCATATCTTCGGCTTTATGCTTCTTTGAAAAAGGTGAAATAGGAACTGGAATTTCTCGAATCACCACACCTTTCCTCGTAACATGTGGTTTTCGATCCATGGATGGAGAAAAACTTGGAGATCTATCAGAAGAGCTTCGTGACCTGTGAGCAATCTTCTTGAGTCTCTTGAACACTCCAGTTTTCGAAGGAACCACCTCCTTTGAAGGTTCATCAGTCTGCGTTGCACCAGTTGTTGCCTCAGGCTTCGAAACAATGACTTCGTCTGTTGGTTTCCTCTTTGGAGTCTTTGTTTTCTTCTTCTCCTGAATGGGTTTCGTAGGACTCTCCTCCACCTTTTTCGAACATATAGAATGTTTGGAAGGATCCTCCTCAGATCGAGACAACAGAATGCCAATTTCAACTGAGGGGTTGATAGTTTTCAAGTAAGCCTGTAAAAATGAATTGGAAGAATCCACCTTCTTAAGCATACCATCAAGAATCCTAGCAACACTAGGAAATTCCTCAGCATTATCCTTAACAGCCTTCGAAATATTGTACTTCAATTCTGTTGTGGCCTCATCAGCTGGTACTTGTATTCCTCCCTTTTCGTATGCAAATTGAAGAGTTAAACTCCAGTATCTTCCACATAAAATTCCATCCACTACATTGGTGTTTTCCACACTCTTGAGAAACTCCCTTCACATATGTGTAGCATAATCCACAGAAAGATAGTAATAGATACCGACCACCTTGGCATAAACTTCTAATCTTCTTTATCCAATCCAACATTTCAGCCAGTAAGACATCGAAGATAAATGCCAAATAAAAAATTCCAATACAAGGTAGGCTGGATTTCTTGAATTCACTAATCTTTGTAAGAGTGGGTTGATAACCCATCTCATTAAACATGTGTAAAACTTGCCCATTGGTGACTTTGTAGAAAGGATGTGAGTTAGGTATTTCCAGTATAGGACAGAATAGGTTTTTAGTTAACCGAAACTTCTTATCAATGATCAGATTGAAGGTGATGTGATCTAAGGTTTTGCTATACATGGCCGTAGAACCTGCTAGTGATAATCAAGACATCGTAACTGTATAAGAACTAAACATCGTCGTCTTCAAAATAAAATGTTGTAGCACCACGATCAACATATGTAGTTCTTCAGGGTAAATTGTAACATCACTTTCGACTTGATAATTGTTGCTCTGAAGTTTCACGATGGCTTGGGAAGAAACATCTTCTGTGGTTTGAAATGGTGCGTCAACTGTAGCAGGATTAGCCATGATTAGGGTTTGAAGATGAATGAATGATCAAAGAGTTCTTTTGTGATTTTGGAATTTTTAGAAACTGTAACCGTTTAATGAACCCTTGAAACCCCTTTTATAGGTGACCCTTGTATTTAAAATTGAAGCGGGATCGTCATTAAATGAAAGCTGATGTAGCACCTTGAAAACCACACCCATACGCCGATTAAGTAGCCACGCATGATAAAGTGAACATCACTTCTCCTTGAAACCCAGACAAAATACAAAATGTCTAGTCATACAACCTGGTAACATGACCCAATGGAATAACAACCGTCACAAAGCTTCAGAATGGAAGCAAGTCTCTTTCACTTTTAGGTGGAAAAGCGAAGTCATATGCCAAACTATTTAAATCATTAGCCTGAGTTGGTAATACTCAGAACCTTAAGGATTTCATGAGTGCAGTGTATCAAAGAAAAAGATTAGAAGCAAATAAAGAAAAATTTGGACCTATGATGTCTAAACATGAAATCTTCGACATAAAAGCAGATAAATCACTGGCAAAGATTGCTTCGTTATTCATCAAGAGAGATGACTAACAGCTTGTGTGGTGTCCCATGAATTACAATCGAATACTTGTTAAGAAGTATCGAAGGGCCTCTTTTTAATAAGCTTCGTGGGTGGTTTAATATTTCGTTACATATCAGCACTTAACATAAATGTGAGTAATTGTAACAGAAATTACTTGTTTGACCAGTGTAGTCAGTGACAAGTAGGCTATGGAAAAACTTTTTTAAGTGACTTCAAGAAACAAATAATACTCACACTGAAATCATATTCAAGAAAACAAAATATTAGTTGGATCTTGTTGGGAAACAAATGTCATGGGTTTCGAACGTTCGATCAAGACCACTCAAAATGATTGAATATGATTTGGAGTATCGAAGAAGGGTACAGAAAAAAATGTTTTGTTAAATCTGGAACAACGTTCCCCATCAATTCCTTAAAGAGGTTGATATTTAGGGTTTCACTTTCATCACGGTCTCATAATGTTAGATCATTAACACAGAATGTTGATATGTCTAAATCCTGATTGGTTGGACCAGAGATCTCTTGGACATATGTCATTGTGTGTGAAAGTGTAAGAACTTTTGGATAAAAAAAGATTGGTTAAAGAGGTTCGAATGTACCACTGCTATTTTTTTGACCAACCAGATTACTCTTAACTCATTTGAGTAGAGTATGGTAGCTCATGGACTAATGTGAATACAACCTGATTGGGTAGAAATTTCCATGATGAAAACTTCATTAAGGCTTTTAAATCACACATTGAGTCAAAGGAGGCTTGAGTCAACATGCTGCAAGATGCTTCTATGGACATTCTAACTAGTACAAAGATTTTTCGAAAATATACCTAACCCTAAAACTGCAAGCATGAACCATCAATGATCTTCACATTAAGTTGTTACAATAAAAAACCAACAAACAAACAAGAAAATCTTTTTGGACTTTTTTAATTTTTCGATATATAAAGACAAAACTAAAGTAAAATCTTTTTGGTATTTTTGATTTTTCGAAATATAAAGACAAAACAAAAGTAAAGTCTTTTTGGTATTTTTGATTTTTCGAAAATAATTTTTTTTTCGAAAATAGTAAAAGTAAATGTACCAAACTCACGAAGATTTTTCATTGTATTCATTCACCAAGATGTCGAAAGCGAAGCATTGAATATGAACACTAACCATTGACTCCGACAGTTGTCATCCTTTTTCACCTTATCATCCTTTCGAATCATATACTGGAACTGAACCTCCTTCGATCATTCCTAATCCTGTTAAAATTCGAACAAATGGTTTTTCATCAAGTGGCTTTTTGAAAATATCAGCAAGTTGATCAGTTGTTTTTACAAAATGAACTTCGATATTGCCATCCTCAACATGATCTTTTATAAAATGATATTGAAGAGCAATATGTTTAATTTTTGAATGTTGCACAGAATTGTGACAAATGTGAATAACATTTTGAGGATCACAATACAAAGGAATTTTCTTCATATTGATTGCACAACCACATAATTGGCTTTGAATCCAAATAATTTGAGAAGTGCAAGCTGCAACAGCCACATATTCTGCTTCTGCCATTGAAATCGAAACGTATGTTTGCTTATTCGATTGCCAGCTTACCAACTTCCCATGAAGAAGTTGACATCTTCTACTTGTGCTTTTTCTATCCAGATTGTATCCCCCTAAATCCTAATAAGAATATGCTTGAATGAAGAATCCGATTTCCGAAGGATACCACAATCCTAACGAAATAGAACTTTTGAGATATCGAAAAATGTTTTTCACTGCTGTTAAATGTGGTTCTCATGGATTCGATTAATATTTAGCACAATTACAAACAAAAACATAATGTCAGGTCGACTTGTTGTTAGATAAAGTAACGAACCTATCATGCTTATGTATAAAGTGAGATCAAATGCTGGTTTATCTAACGAAGGTGTGAGCCTTGTTCCCACAGCCATTGTACTCATAATTTTGTGATATTCATCAACCCAAAATTTTCAAACAGATTCTTTGTGTATTTTTCTTGATTTATAAATATTCCTTCTCTGCTTTGACGAATATTCAATCCAAGAAAGTTGTTAATTTTTTCCATCATACTCATCTAAAATTTGCTTTTCATCGGATTTTTGAATTCACTAGACAAAGCAGGGTCAATAAAGCCAAAAATAATATCATCCACATAAATTTGCACGAGCATTAGATGATCCACAACTTTCTTTCGAAAGAGAGTGGGATCAATTGATTCTTGTTTAAATTTTGATTGTTTTAAGAAAGAAGTTAATGTTCCATACCATGCTCTTGGTGCTTGTTTTAACCCATACACTGCTTTATCTAAAATATAACAATAATGAGGATATTCTTTATTAATAAAACCTGGAGGTTGTTCCACATACACTGTCTCTTCGAGTTCACCATTTAAAAATGCATATTTGACATCCATTTGATAAACATCGAAATCTTTATGATCTGCATAGGCTAAAAATATTCGAACAGCCTCGAGTCTTGCGACATGGGTAAAGGTTTCTTCATAATCAATACCTTCTTGTTGCGAATAACCTTTTACAACAAGTATAGTTTTATTTCGAACAATATTACCATCTTTGTCAGTTTTATTTTTTAAAATTCATTTTAATCCGACAATTGAAACATCATTTGGTTTAGGAATTAATCTCCAAACCTTATTTCTTTCATATTCAGCTAATTCAAATTGCATTGCAACAACTCAGTCAGAGTGTTCCATTGCAGCCTTGACTGAATTTGGTTCAATTTTCGAAATAAAAAACACTAAACATGCAAAACTGTTGATGAGTATTGAGTACCTCATTCTTTGCACATGTTTGAGCTCTTGTTAATACTCCTTTATGAAGATTCCCAGTCACTTGTTCTTTAGGATGACTTTTAATCCATCTATCCATTGGAGGATATGTTGGATCAAAATCTAATGGTGCATGCTCAAACATATCTTTTGTTTCGGAACCTGTAACAGAACCATTATCAATTAGATCATGAAAAGTTACATCTTGATTGTTATTTGACATATTTTGCTCCTCCTTGATGTTATCATCCATTCTTCTATTATCCCCCTCGAAAGAGTGCTCCCCCTCAACATGAGAATTCGAATTCAAGTGCTCCCCCTCCACTTGATGATTAAGCATACTTTCGCCATTTGTAGAAGAAGAAGATGATAGTAATTGTTTATTAGCTTCATTTAGAGTAGATGTCAAAAAATCAGAATGTTTTGACAATTCCAAAATTTGATTATCTTGAATAGTTATTTCAACATCCACAGCCCTGTCAGTAACACCAAAAATTAAATCATAATCAAAATCACATGAATCTAGACTTTTAGATGCATCTTTTGATTCATTAAGTATTGGTTTTTGTTCGAACCATTTGTTAACTTGTTTGATGTAATAATCATCGAATGTGAGATTGAAAGTTTCCTCAATTTTCATTGTTCGTCTGTTCATCTCTCGATATACAACCAAATTATGAGAATATCCCAAGAAAACTCCTTCGTCAGCTTTGGACTGAAATTTCAAAAGATTATATTTGAGATTCATGATAAAACACCTGCAGCCAAAAACATGAAAGAATTTGACATTATGTTTTTTTGTTATTGATAATTTCATAAGGAGTGATGTTAAATATTTGATGAATAAAAGATCTATTCTGAG